CTACAAAAAAAAAAATTGTTTTTCATATTTATATCTTGAGGTTCCACAAGGGGCTTAAAAATAAGATTTTTATACAAAATTATTAAATTTTACACAAATTTTCGGGATTAAAGATTGCTTTTAATAGCTTTCAAGGGACAATAGTATGAAGTTTCGGAGCTCTTTTATCATTGATTTTACCTAAAAATCGAAATCTTATTTCTGATGAATTAATCCATTTTTTTATTTATCAGTTTATTTATTCTACTAGAGTATAAATTGTTCTTCTAATATATTTTTAATAAGACAATTAACGAAATCTACTTAAAGCAAGTGAGCAATAATTATAATAATATACTTTCCAAATGTTTCGAGTATTTTGCTTTTAATAAGGTATAAAAATAAAATTCCACGACAAATAGTTAAAAATTCGTAACAATTGAGGACAAAATAACAATGGTAACGATATAATTAATAATAATTCATTAAAATAAGGCAATTCGCTAATTTGTTTTTTCATTAAATTAGACTTCCATTGATTTGATTTTAATTTTGTGATGACACTGAGATATGGATGGGATATTGAAGGCCCAATCTCGATATTTTCATCAAAATAATAATCAATTTTGAAACAGGAATATCAATATAAATATTGATTCTCTAGCACGCAGGCGCGTCAAAAGAAATATTATTTTCCTTTTTAAATTAATTAATGGAAATATCAATTCTTCTACCCTCCTTAGTAAAATTAATTTTCTAGTTCCAGTTCATCTTCGTCTTCCTCAGCTTTTTTGAGAAATTTCCATTCATTCATAGATCGGATTCATCAAAATGCTAATTTATTTGCATCTTCCATAAATTTCTTTGACCATTAGTGGCCTTGGTTTGAAAAGGTTCAAACAAATTTGGACAAATTGATTACTGAATGAGAAGAGTTCCACTCGCGCTATTAAACTCTAAAAACGGGATGGGCATCGATAATTGATATTATTGAAATATCGATATTTTTCTCTACTATGCACTACATTTATATGAAACACCCAAGATGAGTATAATTTTTTTCATAACGATCATATTCATGTATAATTTTTAGCGCCGAAAGCGATAGTTTTAATTTCAAAATATCGAAGGCCTCATACCAGACTGAAACGACAAGAAAACGCTCGACGATTCCGATTACTGCAGCACTTACTAGACAAACGCTCTAAACTTCCAATTAATTACAAAAGACTCATATACATGACTATAATAAGGTTTATTTTGACTTACGGAGTTGAGCTATGGGGCTCCACTAAACCATCGAATTCCTCTGGTATCCAATCCTTACAATTCAAAATCCTTCGTAAATCCTCAATGTTCCCTACTTTGTTACAAATAGAACCATCCATAATGACCTTAATGTTTCTTATGGTTCAGATCTGGCCCAATCCAAATACCTATCCTTCCATAATAAACTTCAGAATCATCCCAATCCTCACGTTTCTAACCTTGCTTCCTTTTCAATTCCTGATAACCCTCTGAGGCGTCTGAAAAGAAGATGGCCCCGTCATCTCCTAATGTAGACATATGATTAGAGTGCTACCATTGGGTAATTACTCAGCAAGTGTTTTCATGTCATTATATCCATATGTTCAAATTTACTAGATGTATTTATATAATACAGTTGTAAATGTCATTAAGAAATAATAAAAAAAAATATATATCGAAGGAACGACATCGATAGTTGATAATATCGACTATCGATGGCCATCCCTACTCTGAGATACAAAATTTTTTGTCTCAAATTTTGGCATGATTTTTTGCGAATTCATTTTTGCTTTTACAAGTACATCTTGCTCCAGGACCACACCCAATTATTGACTAGGCTCACTAAGTTCAATTATATAGTATTTCTATTATAGAAGGATCTACTTATAGTTATTTAAAAACAATATCGGACCAAAAATATTTATATCTAAAGTAAAAAATAAATTGGGTAAAATTTAATTATTTTACACAAAATTCTTACTTTAACCCTCTTGTGGAACCTCAAGATATAAATAAAGAACAACAAAATTTTGAAGTATTTTGTAAACATAGAAAGGCAATTTTTGATTACTATTAGAATGTATCCGCAGAAATATATATATTTTTTCGTTTCACACTATTTTATATAAACAATCTTGATGACTTTATTTGTAACGATAACTAAAATAAAAATATTTATAAATAAGAAATATAAAAAACTTCGACGTTAGGTTCGACGTTTTGTAGTAACACATCTTCAGAGAAGTTCATCACTACCTTCTGATGCTGAGATCATTAATTTTACTTTGAAACTTCGATTAATTTCATTTATATGGTCTTCACTCGTGTCCATATTTTTTATTATCACTAAGCAGTTTATTACTGGAAGAATAATTATAAATTACTTAGGAAATGAGTGATTATAATTCTTCATATTCATCCTTTAATTCGACTATTCTATGATAAAAAACAACTTAATGATGATCAAATGTATGGACATCAGTGAAGAATAGAAATTAATTACTAGTTTCAAAGAAAAAATAATGAAATGATCATAACACACCATTAGAACGTAGCAATTAACATACCTGAAGATGGAGAGACAAAAACATCGAAACAAATTGTAATAAGTAAGTATTCTTATTCCCGAATCAATAAGGAAAAATAAAACCATTTATTTCCAAATTTATGTATTTATTTTACTTTTCTCTGATTATTTTATGTATATGTACGTTTTTATATCTTTTTAATATATTTACTTTTATTTTATTACGAATCATCCTGTAAATATTTAATTGTATTTTATGGACCCACCAACATGTTAATTTATATTCTGTATTTATAATTTGTTCTAAAGGGATACTGGTCCCACAATAATTAAATTATTTTCATTCAAAATATGTCCCTCTCTAAATATGTAAACATATACATATACATTTATAGAGGGCTATATTTGATTTTAAATTAATTTTATTAAAAACATAAGTTTCGTGATAAGGAAATCCAAACCTAAAAGCTGGAACTTGGATATCCCGGTTGAGTTCTAGGAATTCTTTCACATGCTATCCTTTTCTCCAGGAGGTAAACATCTTAAATGTTCTGTCTTTAAATTATAAAATATTTTAAATCCTAAATTTATTTATTTGGTTGATAGTTATTAGATGGCTCAATCATTCTATTATTAATATAATATTTAAAAAGTTATTGAAGTTATTAAATTAAATCCGTTAATAATATAATAAATAGACTTTAAACTATAAATTCATTTTTTAAATTATTAAAAAGAAGTTGATCTTGATGTTGACATTATATTTATTTATTTTAAATTTTGTGAGGTTACAGTCGACCAGTTTATTAGTTTCATCTTCTTGTTTATAAAAATCTGTTAAATCCATTAAAAACTACATGATTAATATTAAAAATATGAGTATTTAATATATCAGATGTATTAAGTACTAAACATGTCTTCAAAAAATAATTAATATTGTTAATATTACGTTTTTTTAACTGTTGATTTGCAGTGATTTTTTTTACCGACAGAACTAAAAAAAAAAAGAAGTATAATTGTATTTCTTTATCAAATAAGAATGAAATTAGCTTTTTCATTTTAATTACTTTAATTTATTCAGTGTTAATTTATAATGAATGTAAACGTATCAAATAAGGAATTTCAATTAATTTGACTTCCCATCTCGTTTATTTAAATCTAAACATTGAAACCACCAAAAACATTGAATCTTAACTAAAATAATTGAATAACAGTGAGTGATTAAAACAAAAAATAAAAGTATCTAATATATATTAGACATATAAAACACTAAACTTATCTTTAAAAAAATAATTAATATTGTCAATTATTACTGTATTTTTAAACGCTTGATTGGCGGGATTTATTTTTTTGTTACTGAAGGAACTAGAAAAAAAATACAAACGCATTTCATTATCTAATCAGTATTATTTTTTTTACGGGTTCCATTAATTGTGTGTTAATTTGTGATACTTTTTTTTTATTTTTATCTAATTTCATTACATTATAATACAGTAAAATTAATTTCTCAATGTAATGTCGTTACTTTTTTTTAGTGGAAATATTCACGAATAATATTAATATTAAAATTTATATAAGTCGCTTGCTTAGAAAAAGAGTGCCACATTAAGAAAAAGAGGAATTTTACATTAACTGTTAAAGTTTACATCTTTATGTTAATTTCTACCCCTGACTATAACATTAAGTCGGTCATTTTCTTGATCAATGATGCTTGTCGTTTTTATTTGAAAATTAACTTTTAACTTAATTAAGAATTGTAAAATTAAATTTTAGCAGTTTGTGTTAAATAAAAAAATAGATTGTCATTTATGTAAGTACTGCAATTAAAAATCAGAAATCGTTCCTTAAGGGAAATAATGGAGAATAGATTTCAGAGCGAACATTTGTTCCAAATTGGCGATATAAGGAAAATTGTAATTATTGAGAAATTTAAGAAACAAGATTTCGTTGTTTTTGTTGTGAAACACCAAGAATTAATACCGATTTTGAAATAATTAAATATATATATATATATATATATATATATATATATATATATATATATATATATATATTTTATATGCATATTATATGTTTTGGCGCCGAAAAATACAAAGTGAATTATTTATATAGTAATTAAATTAGTACTTCATTAATGTAGTCCCTGGTGGATCTACGGGGAAGGGCTTTCGGGTTGGAGCCCCCATCTCTAAAATTGAAAGATATTTTTATTTTCATAGATCTATACTTGTTTGTTTATTATTTTGTGTCTTTGTAGAAACGATTCAAGAAAAATACAAGCGTTTACCTCTGGAAATATAATTGTTCCAAAAATTATTTTTTTTTTTTTTAGGTCTTTAAGGCCTACTTAAATTGAAAAAATTAAACAAAAAAAACTTCAAAAATTTAATTCTCGATTCCCTACTGACTGAAGTCTATGAGAATTATGAATGGGAAAAATATTTTGTGAATTGGAGACTTTACTCACTTGGTGACCCTGGGCACCTGGTTCCAGTCGAAGGCCTGGAGCGCCTTGTTGACCGCCAGGTCGAGGTCCTTGTTGGGGGGCTGCGCTGGGGCGGTGCCCCCCTCGGGGGCCGGGCCGGAGAGCAGCGACGCGTGAGCGGTGCGGACGATAAAACTACGAGCACTCATGATCACGGGCGGACGGCAACTGTCTCGCGCCGGCCCCCTGCCTGCGGGGACTTGAGTGGGGGGCTCCGGTGGAGGGGGAACCCCTCGGCCAATCGGATTCGTCCCTCCTCTGCAGTGAGGGGTTGTAAGCAATACTCATCATCCTTGGGTTATGTATCCGCTAATTGTCGATTATGTAATTAGCGCACTTCAGTGATGCTGTCTAAACAAATAAATCGCTATATAATTAAATACAAAATTTAATCATAGTACAATAAAACTAGTACAAGCCAATGAGAACCCTCACATTATATCTATACCATTAAGGTAAAGGACACCTCATATCTATACATATCTAATATCTACATACATATATACATATCTAATAACTAAGAAATAAATTTTAGTAGTACTTTTTTTTTTTTTTTTAAGATAATTTTAATTCTATTTTATTCATTTATTTTTATTCTATTATTAATATTATTTATATTTTCTTCCTTCACTATGATATTTTATATTGTTCTTATTTAGCTTTATATTATTTTGAAATTACCTTATTTTTTTTTTTTTTATTTATTAAATATGGTGTGAATGTGCTCTCTGAACTCTATTATAAATGTCCTTTATTGAGACAGAATGTAATATTTATCAATAAACAAATAATCCAGTAGATCAAAGATATGGAAAATTCGCAATTTTTGGCCAATTCAATTAATAATCAAATTAGTTTTTTTTTTCATTATTTGTTATAGGACGTTTTGGGAAACGTTGTTCTCCTCTTCAGCAACCTAAAATAATACAATTAATTTATTATAGGTTCTATCATGAACCAGTCACAATTTAATAAAAAAAATACATAACATTTAAAACAATTTTTTGTCTAAATTTTTGTAAATTACTTTATATACAATTGTTAAAATCATAATTTACTTATATTACTTATAAAGAATTGGGAAAGTCACAGTATTTAATAATCTTGATCGGAATTGAAATACTGTGATTTAACCAATTTTTCGGGCTGTCAATGTAAGTAAATTATAATTTTAATAAATTTACATAAAATAATTTATATTGATTTATAAAAAAAAATGTCTTAAATGTTATGTTTTTTGTTTTTTTTTTTAGTTAATAGTGACTGGTTCATGATAGAAAGTATAATAAATTGATTATATTATTTTAGATTGCTGAAAAGGAGGACGAAGATTCCCCTCGTCCAATAATAAATAGTGATCAAAAACTAATTTGATTATAAATTAAATTGACCAAGAGGCAAATAAAACTGAAAAAAGGTCAAAATTGAAACATGGATAATTTTATCAATTTCAACACTATCCTACAAAATTGATGAAGCATCATACCATAATACTACTGTAAAAGTAACAATTTACTTAGTAAGTCATTATCTTGTAATATCTGTCCAGTTCAATAGTTAGGCAAAATCGATTTCCTTAAACTTATGCAAGTCTATGATTCTGCTGATTTTCATTACCATTTGTTTCTCCTTGTTCAGCAGGCTCTGAAAATTTCGGATCCACCTGCTTATTATATCTCTCTGATTGGTCAGAAGGTTACCGTTCTCATCCTTTATGATGTAATTTCTCGGCTTAAATCCCTTAAATAGGTTATATACATATGTATATATATATATATATATATATATATATATATATATATATATATATATATATATATATATATATATTCTATACATATGTATATATATATTCTATATGTAAAAATATCAAAACATTTCTTTCTGTATCAAACGAGGTATCCAAGAGATCATTTAGCTATTCTTATCCATTTACTTTCCTTTCCGATTGCCATAGTTCTTATTTCAAACCATGTCAGATTTGAAACCTTCTGATTTTCAAAGTAAGGTTTGTCTTTTTGAAATTACAATTTGTCACTTCTCCAACAAATTCCCTTTCGTTTCATTTCTCATTCACATGGGTCTATACTACCGTGTTATATTTATTTATACCAGAAATCGGTATCTTCCTCCGACCACATTGAAACCAAAATCTGCATAAATCAGACAGTTACTCCCTGTCCCTATAACTAATGAGTGAGAAAAACTAATCGCCCTTTCATTGATTCCTAGTGCGGGTAAGCAGGGCTGTCCATCCTAGCTATCGAATACTCCAGGCCCTTAAGAAATCATGTATACCCTGCCCTGATTTCTTTCCTGCAACTTAGATGAATTAAAAAATTTCGAACATTGACCTGTTTTTTTTTTCTAAGATACAAAAATTATTATGAGTCGATTATTTCCCAAATGAACCCTAATCGATTTTTTGGAAATTAAGATAAGTATTGATTCTCATGAAAAACGACATGATGAATCCGATAGTGTAATTACTTTTTTTTTTTTAAATCAATATTTAATATTTTAAAAAGTTATGTGGAAATAAATTTATTGCCGAAATAAGTATTTTTAAAACGAATTTCTTTAGTATTCTTAAAAAAAAAAAAATCCACACAAGCTATTTTAATCGTTTTATTAAAATGATAATTAAAAAAAAAAATGATTTTATTGTCTCATTTTTGTAAACGAAAAGTTAATTTTTTATAGCACAATTTTTATAAATCTTCGGATAATAAATCATTTTTCTCTCTAAAACCAACTCCAATCACCCTCTTTTTTAAAAAGTTGCTTTCATGTTGCATTATTCTTATTGTTTCATCAAGCAACTTCATTTAAGGTTCAATGTTTTTTTCTTTAATTTTTTTTTCTAACAGTTGAAATAATCAGTAATTTTCGGAAATATTTTCTACAATTCAAGAATTTCTTATTTTTTATTCTTTTTTTTAAATATTGGTTTTGTTATTACTGCTGGAATAGAGAATATAGTTTTTTATTTTTCCTGAACAACTTTTAATAATGATTGGAATTCACTTTGGAATTAAATGACTCAAATTTTTAGTTTAATAATATTAATTGCCAGTTAATATTTTTCATGTTTCCGAACAAATGCCGTTTAAATATTTCATGTATTTGTTTACATCGTAAAATATCCTGTTATATTTATTCCTCTAGGCTTTAGAATAAATTCTAAGTTTTAGAAATATGTTGGTTTAGGTATGTGGAATGTTGGGTCACTCTGGGATATATGTGTTTAGAAAAAAAAAACCGTTTAAATCTGGTATTGGTCATTTTATTGTGTGATAAATATATTATGCTATCCTTCTATATCCCTAGTTTTTCAGGGTACAACATGAGAACAATTAACTCCCGAAACCTGGTCAAAATATAGTTTTTATTCATTTTACTTTTTAGATCCTCAGATAATATAAGTTATTACTATTCGAGAAAATAAAAATCGATACACCCTAATTGGAAATCAATACACCTTAATGATGTTTAAAAGAGTGTACGATTTTTTTTTTTTCTTCATTATATTGAGGTACGTCAAATTGCTTCTTCTTTGATGAAATGATTACTTGATATATAAATAGTGCATAATTTTCTTTTAAGGACCCAATAATATGAATGAATTATTTTTCCTATAGAAAATAACCTAATGACTGAAGTAAATTTCTAAATGGGATGAGTCATTGCTTTGATATTCTTGTAGACTGTTATTAAGTTGTCAATGAATGGTTCTCATACATATAACTGTTATAGGCTGAAATTAGACAATGCACGCCATTGTTTCGCATTCATTAGTATACCATTAGTTATCTTCATTGATTAAATTGGACACTTTGATGAAAATATAATTTTATATCTAGTTTTTTTTTATTGTTGGAACAGTTCAAGATTTCTAAATTTATTAGAGTGATAGATAATAATTGGAGTAATAATTGGAGTGATAGATAAACAAGACCTACTCTCTTATAATATGTAAGTGTCAATATTTTTCATATATATATATATATATATATGGAAATTATAGATACTTATATATTCTCTTATAAAGGTAAGCCGGAAACTCTCACAGCCATGATGTGTCCTTCCAGTTAAGATTTGCACCGCCTCATGAGACACCGTCCTATATTACCTGGTGATTTTAAGCAGAACTATCTGCTGAATCGTCGCCAACCTACTACACACAACCTACACGCACTTCAAGATATTCATATACAATCACTCTTTTAAGTTGTTAGGGGTCTGTACTGCGGACTTAAAGGCTGAATTTAATGAAATAAAAAAAAAAGTGTGCTTTGTGTGCAGCTAAGAATAAAAAGATAAATTGTATTAAATGCAGTTGTGAGTTGCAATGTGGGCATGCATATATCCCGCTGTTTCAAATACCTAAAAGACAGATTAAAGTTTTAAACAAATATAACTACTTCCTTTGAGTGTTAAATAATGGTGCTTTATAATATAAATAAATAAATAGGTCCATCTTCTATCGAAAATGGAGAACAAGCCATGATTTCGGTCCAAATCAAGGTTTTCTATACTTTTTTCGCAGATAGGTGATTTAATAAAGTTGCACATATTGATCATCTGAGGCTGATATAGTATCCCTTTTTAACAATTCTCATGTTTGTTCCACAGTCATTTCCTGATTTAATTTTTTTCTTGTGCAATGTTTCAATAAGTATTAAGACATGAGTTTTACAAATTATTAACCCATACCAGCAGTTGTTATATATATCTAAATGTTATGTATATCTAGTGCAATATTTATTTATTAACTCGTGGCTCACACGGAACGTAAATACTTTATAGGCAGTATAAATTTTCAAATATTTATGAAGTAGAGAAAAGATTATCTGCTGAAGATTAAAACTGCGATTGGCAAAGCCGCATAAATAAATTTGTTTTTTATTAAACGATATTATTTATGCTGACTATGAACAGAAATTATAAACCCTGAGGAGTGTAAGAAAAAATCAGTATGATATACTAACAGCAGATTATAATAATAATCTTTAATAAAATAAATATGTTTTTACATTTTGTAAGGTTATATATATTGTATAAATATTTGTATTAATTCGTAAAAATATATTGAAAATTATCTTTAGAACATTTTATCATCGGGGCCAATTAAGTCTTAAAGGAGCCTTGAATAGCAAAG